TAGTCATGATACAGGGTGCAGTTTTTATCTGATCTCGATGAAACTTGGTATTCATGTATATATGGACAAGATCTCAGTCAAGTTGAAATTGGTAACAATCGGGTGAACGGTTTTGGAGTAAATGCCCTTGAATTAATTCAATGCGTCTAATTTGGCTTGTAGGCCTGATAGAGGCTTCATTTTTTATACAATCTTGATGAAACTTGGTATGAGATCTCTGTGAAGCTTGAAATTAGTAAAAATAGGATGATTGGTTTCACATATTAAACCACTGCAGACTTTGTTACTTTGTTATCATTTCTGACAGCTGGTAGTGGGCGTATGTTACCTTGCCTGACAAGCTATCTTTTGATTTGTGGTTCACATCCATTGAATTGTGTAAATGTGCTAACTGTTAACCCACTTACTAAATGTGTCATCGATGTCATCAATGCTTTAGTGTGATCAACTTGATATTTACATGATTATGATTATCAAAGTTGGCGTACATATCCTGTGTTTAAAAACGGAAAGTTGAAGAACACATCCGCACTTGTAAGTACTTAATATCTATTATAATATATCCACCAGGATTCATATTATAGTTTTCTAAGAAATGAAATTGTGTCATTCGTGATATAATTATGTTAGGCCTACCTAATTTGCATACAATTTTATGTTTATTTATTTATTTATTAAATGATCGCAAAACATGATATGTTATTTTGCATTTTGAAAAGTGATATGGACACTGTAAAAAAAGAAGGCAAAATTTAGACGGCTCGAAGTATTAAATGTCACTCATTATGCAAACGACAAATTATCCAAAGTTTTTTGTTGTTGAAATGATTAAAAGTTTAGATACGTATAACATGCTGAAGATCTTCACTTCGAAATAATCTTCTATAGCAGAAATGTCCATTTTATTTCGTTTTAGTAATTGAACAGTCCATCACTAGCATCTATCAAAAACATAATAGTTCAAACAGAATTATAACGAATTATTTCAGCCAGATTATAACAATGGTTTTTAATACTAGTCTGAATATATTGTCATAAAAAGATGATTTATAGTAGTTTTGTCTCGGCAGTATTAACTAATCTAATTCTTTAAGAATCAACAGGAATAATAAAAGCGAATTAAATAGAATTGGTCTATGCGAGGTTTGCTTGTTCCGAATCCCTTGGTAATAAAGGAGTTCTTCCTAGTTGTTGGTTTGATATAAGTCTATGCGACGTTTCTAATACCACACCTCTCAGTTACAAAACAATTCTTCCTCGTAGCCAATTCGGAATTAGTCCATGTGAGGTTTCTTGTCTCGAATCCCACGGTAATAAGGTAATTCTTCCAAGGATCCATTGTAAAGCCTATGTTAGGTTTGCCTGCTTTTAATCCCTCAGTATTAAAGGAATTCTTCCTTGGATCCGGTTTATATGCGAGGTTTGCTTTTTCTGAATCCCTGGATTATAATTTTCATGGTTTGATACTGTGTCCTAGTGTTTGAACTAAGGTATTTAAGGTTTTTTTGTTTTGAATTTTAACGTTGGTTACTAAAATTACGATGTCTCGGCCTCAAAGGATTCTTCTCGTTGAAGTGGTCATTCAGATGAAAATAGCTGGAAAGGTGCTGTGAGACTTGCTATGTTGCGAGACAGGACATTTGTACCCCCTCATGAACACAATGGCGTTTCGCAGTGCCCACGTAAATAATATTGTTATAATCTACAGATCGTCGACCCTTTTTTTATCACATTTTAATCCAATTGCGACAGTAAGTGACGTGTGTCGCTAGCGAGGCAGTACACGAGTTTCCCTCCATAACAGCTAAAACCGCTACGCGATTGACCCTACAACACAAGAGCAATTGGACCAAATCGGTGACCATTTTTTTGTCAATGCCAGCTGACTTAATACTGTATCAGCAACATTTAGCCACTAGATAAATACTCGATACGGAAATTTAATTGAATCAATTCCTTCATTTGAAATGTTCCTTGGAGCATATTCAACTCTCGGTCATCAGACAGTTGATGAGGCCAGGGGATTTATATCAACTATAATAATATAATTTATGACTGTAAAGTTGCGAGGTCTTGAGACTTAACTATAATTGATTTAAGAAGTATTTGATCTGATAAGTTTAATTAAAATTTAGAACTATATTTCATAATAAAATGAGTTCCAGTTAGATTTACAAAGATATACTTAATGATTCTGTGGACCGATTTAGAATGCTTTGGTTAATGTCTAATGTCTTCGCCCTGAAAAGTTGAACGCACTATTATTTTTACTTCCTGTTTCAAATATCAACAAGACTTCTTCAGGGATGGACAAGGAATCCCTTGATCTGAAAAGAATGCGTCTTTGATTACCAGTTAACTATGTTTACTTCACAGAGTCACATAATATACAGATAAAATGACATGAAATGAATGGAATACTACTTTTCTGTCTGGGCTAAATATAGATTTATTGCATTAAACCTGTTGCCAAAACTGTAACATTTTGAAATAGACGAACCTTGCTATTTGAATATCTTCTTAATACATGTATATGTCACTGACAAACTTGCCCTGAAAAATCACGATTTATGATCTATTTATGGTCTATCGCAGATAGATTTTAAGACATAATTCCAATTGAATGTATAAAGCCTTGGTAAAATATCCTTCAACCAGACTATCATGTACCTATTCAAATCATATATCATTCTTAGCAAGACAACGTTCAAATCAACTACCCTTGGAATAATGCCCTAAATTGTTTTGTCAGCCAGTTAAAAATTATTAAGATATGAGTGTTGTTGGGAGACACTATGCAATAAAGGACAAAACTTTCCCATTCAAGATGTTCGCTTGCTCATACGAATTGAAACTTTTCCAACGGGGATTGAAACAGCATTGGATCGGCTCTTTAATTAAAGAGGTCAAAGTCGAAAAATTAAACGTCAAATGAGCGTGCGATTTTAACGACCAGTTTGCGTCTGATTAGAAAGAAACCAGTGTCATTGTTAATCATTGGACGTGTAAAGACGTCACGACAGTATAAATATAGGATGACTTAAGATGTACATACACAAAATATCAGCACCTTATTTAGATATCCGGCGATATCAATAGAAATCCTTCGAACAACCACCGTCAGTATTCACCTTGAAATATGACGACGAAAGATTGAGATGGACTGACAATGAGCGGAAATTAAAGCGACAGAGACGTCAACAATCTCAGTTAATTACTATTTGCAGCTTATTAATGGCTAAAATAAAATATTCCTATAATTATGACCCATTGTTGATTTTGATTAATGATAAAAGATATTGTGTTTTTCAGATTTATAACCGCCATTTTGTACAGTGACTTATTAACCGTATGCAGACAACCCAGATTCAACGTGGTAAAATTACATTTAAAAAGGTGGGTTTTTCATGTTTGATTTATGTTTTCCGTTTTTCTTTTGAATTTATGATTCTTTTTTCTGATTAGATTTTTTGAACGCAGGCAATGCAGAGTATGCACAGAATAATCTTTTCTAAAAGCGGCTTTAAACGTCGAAGAAGCTTTAACGTCCACAGCCTGGAGCCAATTAACATTGCATGGCTTAAAACTTTGCCTTGATAATTCTCAATTACATCGTCTTCAGGAAGTAAACCTACTTGAAAAAATCGGATTAATACGTTATGAATTTATTTAAGTGAAATATTTAAAGATCTTTTCCGCAACAGATATTTTACAGAAATTTGAATACGTGTCACGTTGTTTATAATTGATTTGTTTCAATGGCATTACATCTTAATGAATTTTTGTACGCAAACTGTTTACTTCTGACTTTTTTTCTGATGATCGCCTGTATCAATGATAATTATATTCCTAAATTTTTTGTTAAACACCTCTTTCCCCAGCAGGTTTTCTAATCGGAGTGGTCCAAAATGATGATTGTGTTATTGAAGGTTTTCAAAGGAATATAAGCTACGGAGATTAAATCCTGGATTAACTGTACATGATGGAATTCAGAAGGATTAATGCTTACAGAAGATTAACTATACCGGAATAATCCTTTGATGAGATTCATGAAAGTAGATTCCGGATTAATAGTTTTTGATGCTAACAAAAAGTGTCCGGAGTATAGTTTTGATTAATATTCATTTTGACCACATCATGTGAGTTGTTTTAGGTCCAAAACAGCAACAAATATGGGATGTCTTATGTTCCAATGCGCACTTCAGATGTGAATTATCACGAATTCTATAATTTAGATGACTATAATAAAACTTCTTCTTGGAAATGATTTGTAAGAAACCTAATGCTTTTAAGGCTAAATTGGATTAGAAGTGTATTTGTTACTTAGAACACCGCGAGCTCCTGATTTTATTCCATCAAATCTAGTTTTAAAATTCTGCAAGAAAAAACACATAATAATTTTTGTTAAAATAATGTGCCTCAGAAACCTCAATAAAAATTGCAGAAGAAACATCATTTCTGAGGTTTTGGAATATAATTAAAGGCTATAAATGGTGTTAATGGAATATCAGAGAAAAATGGGGAATATTATGGATAATTGTGATATTTATGTGATTTTTTCCTATATATGATGTACAGTTAGTAGTCGGTAATGTATTTCATCTATATATACTCTATTGACGGCTTGTGCGTTGAAAATTAGACCGATATTGATCCAATTCTAATTCCGCTCAACTTCAATCATCCTTGAGCAGTGAATAGATACAAATTTCCATAAAATACAATTATCAATCCGCATGCCATTCATCATTATTTTTAAAATGAGCGAACTCTGTGAATTAAATAATGAACCTCTTGTTAGAGCCGGGGTAAATGGACATGATCACGTGTTAGAATCACCAGATAACCCGGATGAAAACAGCGAACACTCATCACGAGGTTCCGATGGCTCGGTTGATTCACACGGAAACAAAAAGCCCCGTGCTATGCTAAGGCGCGGAGGGATATTTCCTGGTGCGAAATGGCGACGACTCCGGAACACTTTACGCGCAGCTCACGAAATGCAAGCGCAGCGTAGAAAACCGTGTTTACAGAGAGAGGACTCTTTTCTCAAAAAGTTCTCGACTCGACGAAATTCGAGACCAAACGAAACTTCTGACAATGAAGGCGAATCACAAAAGTTCCCCATGCATTGGCGGCCCCGTAATCATGCGCGTAAATTTGTGTTTCAACATCATGGAAGTTTTATGTTTAAATGGTTAGGTGTGGTTACCATTGCTGTGCTTTATAATTTGTGGACATGTATTGCCAGGGAGGCATTCCGAGAAATTCAGGAAAGTTGTCCTGCCGTGTGGTTTTCCTTGGATGCAGTAAGCGATGTGATTTATATTTTGGATATTGTGGTACAGTTCCGTACAGGATATTTAGACCAAGGATTAATGGTGTATGATTCCAAGAAACTTGCTCGGAAATATATTCATTCTAAATATCTTTATATGGATCTATTATGTCTCTTACCTCTGGACTTTTTCCAGTTTTTGATTGGAATTCATCCAATGGTACGTTTTACTCGCTTTCTTAAAGTGTACAGATCATTTAACTTTTTGCACATGCTGGAATCTCGAAATGCCTATCCGAACCTTATACGTGTTGCTAATCTTAGTCATATTCTATTCCTTGGAGCACATTGGTTTGCAGCATTTTATTACCTTATATCAGAGGCTGAAGGATTTCAAGGTGGATGGTCGTACCCTCAGCCTGTAGGGGAGTACGCCTCAGTTACTAGGAAATATCTGGCATCTTTATTCTGGTCAACTCTAACTTTAACAACTATAGGAGATCTACCACCACCTGAAAGTAATTGGGAGTAAGTACATAATTTATTACTATTTTGATTTGTACATTATATTCATATTCATCTGCACCAAAGGTTTGATCGCGTTGGTAAACCATCATCACTTCTGTCCAAACCAGAACTTCCATAGTAGTTGTATTTTGCTTCACACATTTATTCCAAGAAATTTATAATCCGCATAAATGTAGGCTACATCCTGATGCGTTATTACTCGTTTGGTTTAAATTGTACATCTTTGACGTTATTAGTCGTTTGGTTTAAAATGTACATCCTCAAACGTGATTACTCATTTGGTTTAAATTGTACACCCCAGTACGTTATTATTCGTTTGGTTTAAAGGAAAAAACACGACAAACGATTGGACAGTATGACATGTTCATGCTTAAGAAAACGATTTAGTGTCCAATACCTGTTTGTTTCTTAAACTCCCTTCAGCTTTCAGAGTGTAGCAACCACCCGACGCTTTGTATAATTATTCAGTGTGTTTAGCATTTTCTTACACGTTGAAAACTATTGTGTCCTCATCTGAAGGTAATACCTCAACACTTGGATCAATTTCCCAAAAATATATCAGCCAGATTTTGGGAATTAAATAAGAAAATCAGACTTGTAAACTAAACTTAATTTAAAATCGATTTTAGTGATTGGCATACCGATGGTTTATTATGATTTTGTAAGATTGTGGTGAGCATTAAGTATGAGATCAACGTCTAAGCTGACGAAAGAATGTTCCTTATTTGCTGAGTTAATGATATTACAACATCCCCTCTTTCAGTAGATTGATGTAATCTAACAATACCCAATGGCCATTTAGTTTTGGATGCTCCGGAAAAGTCAAAACGTTTTTAGGATGGTTCGACTGTTAACCGTCCACTTTCCCTGGTCTACTTAATACAAAGAGCTCTAATTGAAATTTGGTGGTATTCCAATGTTGCTACACTTTTATCGGTTTTATTTGGCAATCATGGCATCAGTGTAATATTCACTGTAAAATTGCAATGGTCCAAAGAAAACCCCTGGGAACATTGGTATTGTTTCTTGTTGTAGGGAGTCTTAATGTTCAATTTAATTCACCTGCACAAGTTTCATCAATAATTGAAATACACATCAAAGAAACATTGTCTAGTATAAGTCCCAATCGCGAGACAATGATGAGAACACAAATAAAAGAGAACACAAATGAAAGAAAGGCATTTTTTATGTAGATCTAGCGAACTCGTAATGTACTTTGCATTCAGGTTAGATTAAAACTTTACATTTTACTTTAAAAGTTATAAATTGGTTACCCGTTCTCTGATAGTTAAAATTCTAGAATTGTTAAAAGTTTTGAAATTGATAAAAGTTCTGAAAAGGTAGAAGTACAGAATCAGTACACTATTTTACTTGGTTTAAGAGAAAATACATATTCATAAGTTATTATATCAAGCATATTTAAATTTGAAAAAAAAAAAACGTTTTGATACCAATTTAAGTCATTATGCATCTTTATCCACTTTATTGATCATGAATAAAGTTTAATTTATAGACATTTTGTCATCATAATTTATCTTCTTTCTTTATAAACGTTATTCAAATTGCTCTATTTTCCATTTGAGCCTAATTTGGTTATCGTAGAGAATCATTTAAGTTTAAGTTAACGTACAATTCGGTTAAATACTTCAGCATTTTAGATGAATGGTTGTATTAAACAACAATGCCGACATATTTGCTTCATATCTGAAAGCAAGCACATCACCCTTTCTGTTTGGAGCACATTATACCAACAACTATTAAACCTTTTTCCCCAAGTGCACCCAGTGTTTCCTCTTTTATATGTTGTAGCAAAATCAAAAGTTCAATAGGGATGTTTACTATAAACTTAGTGCGAGTTTGTCTTTTGGCACCGCGTTTTCAATAGTCTCAATAGTAGGTCAATCTAAAGAAATAAACTCCGTCGGTCACCAAGATCTTTAGACACAGCTTGACTTGCATAGAGCAACCTACTTAAAATCTTTGGAAAATTATTCCTCAGACCATAATCAATGATGTTCAAATACATGAAATACTGGGGATGCATGAAGGTTAATCAATAAAACTCTTCTACGTTCTATCCTTCCTAAGAGTGGTATTTGAGTTCTTACGTACGGAAATCATTAGACGCCGTTTTGTGGGTGGTCTCTCGTAAAGCAGTGAGATCAAAAGACATTTTTCATCCTTTTGTAGGTTATAAGGAAATTCAAGCTGACAATATGATGAAAAATTGCTTGGAAAGATTTACCATCGTGTTTAATATACGTGGAATTTGGACATACTCAATTTGTTCGTCCAATTTGACTGGAAACGGTCGACAAGATCAGGCCATTAACTAGGCATGAGGTGGAATTTGATTTTACTTAATTTAGAATTCAGAAACGTGCCGTACAATACAGAGCGTATCGACGACAAATTGCTACTGATCTATTCTATCATTGTTTTATACACAAAAACATCTTAAATTCCGACTGTTTTTAGAAGTAATAAGCCTAAAAAGCGTCCGGGTCAATACTTGGACAAATAACGTCTGATAAGGAAGATTAAGTATGGTTATCTGTGGGTAAATGAGACGAGTTAAATAGCATGCGTTATGGTTCTCACAATTTTTCCTCAAGCCTTTAACAATTCAAGTAGAAATGGTCTGATTACTTTTCACTTCTATTTTATTAGAGATCTTTGTATGAGGTATTATGTCAGAGGAAGAGAGGTCTGTTCCATAACAATAGATAATCCTGCTCTTTTAGTCTGCGATATCGCTAACATTGCCTAATAGTGGTAATTAAAAACACGCGTAATTGTCAACAATTCTAAAATCAAACTTAAAATTAGAAGGCATTAAACGAATGAATGGATAGAATCTAAATTTCTTGTTGTTACCAACTGCTATAGTCTAAAATGACGCTTAATTAGAGATAGACATTAGGGGTTAATTAAAATATAATATAAATCACACAAGCTTCCACTAGATGTGGGAAATGCCTTTTTGATCTTTAATTTTGTATTCGCTTTCACTCAGTAGATATCAGTTGGAGAAGAGATGTTGTCAAGAATCTTCACGTTCGTGAACTAACCCACCTTCCGACGGATATTGAGATATAAACTGCAACTTCCGGTTGATAAAACTGTCTTTAAGAAATTAGCATATAGGTTCCAAAAGGAAATATTATTTTCAAATTACTGTATTTATGCACAACACTTTTACTCCAATTCAATCAAGTTGTCTGCCTGATATGTTCAAGAACCGCAATTTCTACCAGAGAGGCTCGATAATCATTTCAATTTGTGCAAGAGGTTGTTTATTTCCGTTGCCTTTACAGGAAGTTAAAGAGATTATGAGCGAAGTTTTGTGTTCAGTTATCAAGATAAAGTGAATTTCAATCTAAACTGTCAAAGGTGTACAAATGCCTATGGTCGAAACAACTGTGTAGGGATGATTAATCCGAAACATCTGCCTCTATTCTAACCTCTGATATCTCGATTGAGGTCGGCTGAGGTAGGGTCAGAAAAACTTGGTTATTTTTTGGGAAAATCTTTACTAGGTATAGTGTTATGCACACGTAATTCAGTGACGAGAAATCAGGATATTGCATTACGAGTAATCATGGCATTATATTACCGAGTAGTCATGACAATTCATGCGTGTAATATTGATATTGCATAATGTGTAATCATGGCATTACATACGTGTAATCAAATCGAATATGATATTTGATATTGAGAAAGACTATCATTATCCACACTGTCATTATCTTGACTATTGTAAATTTTAAACGTGAAAGACGAGACATTAATAGTATTTTTGACAGTTTCCTAAATCCCTAGATACCATTTTAACATCAATATCTGTCGTTTGTAATGTTTTGTTTTACCATCGAACATAAAAACTAACTTAAAAACCATAAATATTGAACAGTTTTTTTCTAAGTACGCGTGTTGATTTAATACATTGTGCTTCACAAGGCATCAAATAACTACCATTGTTTAAAACCATGTCCAATTACACCTTAACAGATACCTGCATTTGATGGAAAATAACATTTATAACAGCTTTCGTGAAGTCACGAATATCCATATGCAATTAAATAAATTGCAATTAATTTTCAAACCAGGTTGTCAAGTACACTTTTTTTTCAAGAGATACTTGTAATAGTATGAAACTTATATAGTAAGTTTAACTGGAGATGGAAGTTGTATAAGCTGTATAAAAATAATTTACTGTGTAAAGGTATGGCAGGTATGTGGATGAAACTTGCTGTCCCTTCCTGAACAAGTGGCTCGCCCATTAGTATGTCTATTTTACTCTCCGGCCACAATAAGCTCTCACAAACATTCAAAACCAGATTTTCAAGAGCACCTCCTATGTCTTAAAATATCTTCAGTTCGATATGAATGGAAGGTTTGGTGATAATAAATTTGAAATTATCATACTTCCCTCCAAGAAAGTTCATTTTGAAGTTGATATTCCAAATCTTAATAAATATAATTGGCAAAACACTCTTCTGTAAACATTGTGTTCGGACAGAAAACTTCTATTTTTATTTTGGGATTTTAGTACCTGCAATCAAACCTGTAGCTTGCGTATGACCCATGCAAATTAGTTTTATTACGTCGTTTTCTATCAACTAACACGCATTCATTAAAAATTAACGCTTCGTATTACAATAAGCTGAAGTTGAATAAGAAAATTGAATAATTCAAACCATTTTGATTATCACTCGGGAATAAAACAATCCTTCTTAATCTTATCACTCGGCATTTTTCAATTTTACCACCTAAATGCTTTTTTTCTCTTCCCTCCTTGTTATAAATATAATTGTGCAATTTACAGCTTTCAGTGGGGCGAGTGTAACCTCTCAGGTTAAGCATCAATAACATTTAACACCAACCCTCTTTAAACATGTGCACTGGTATGCGTGCTATAGTCTTGTGATGTTACTGGTGAGCAATACTTCATGTTCCTCACGGTGAAGTTTGTTAACTTAACACCGTTACGAGTGTGCAACC